GAGTCTCATCTGCGCGTGCCCCACTTGCACCACAGCTGAGGGATCCCAGAAAGCAGCCCGCGTGGGGTTTTATACCCTAGGACAACCCAACATTCAGGGCTAAAGCACTGGACATCCTGTTTCCAGGAGAGCCCCCGGGTCTCTCTCCTGTTTGGACTAGTCCCTCCACAGCTCAGGATGTTCCATTTCCAGCACATTCTACAGTTATTCTTGAGAACTGCAAGCAAGAAAGAGGAGACAACTGGGTTGGTCCAGGACCACCCAGAAAATTATCCTGCAAAGACCAGGGTGCCCCCAGCCCAGGGGGAACCTGCAGAGCAGCTGGGTCCCTCGCCCCAGGCTCACTTCCAGCCATGCTCCTATGTGCCCTGGAAGCCCTTCTGCTAGGCCTGGGGCAGAGTGAAAGGGCAAGATCACACCAGGAGGTGACAGAAGTATCCTGAAGCAGGAGTGAGAGTAGCCCTGAAGCAGGAGGCCTGAGCCCCCAGCCAGCTGCAGGGTGGGACAGAGCAGGTGCCTAAGGGATCAGGGACAGACTGGGCAGTCGGCAGCCAGTCCTGGCAGCAGAGTATACCCCCAGGGGTGAGGGTGCAGAATGTGCTGGGACTGAGATGACCCTGAATGGAGACATTGCTGCATGACTAGCTGGAGAGCCATGAGGCTCTGGGATGGGGGCCCTTACCTAGTATGAGGAAGTCCTTGTAGGAGTCCTTGTGGTGGTAGGGACACACACCATCCTCCATGGTAGATACTACCCAGAAAAATGACACCTTTTCATATGTGGCAGGTGAGGCTGGAATCTGGGTGTGTCTGTGTTATCAGCTTTCTCCCCAAATCTCTCCAGAGCCCTCTTTCACCACCCTACACATTCCTTCCCAGCCATGGTGGAGTCCAAAGCTTCTATTTTGGTGGGGGAAGGGACCAAACAGGGCAGTGTACCTTGTCTGTATTTCTGTTGCATCTGTCAATGCTTGTAATGCCTGGCATGGTGTTTGTGCATGTGAATGTGGCGTTGTTATTGTGACCTTCATGACTTACAGGGAGGGAGAGACAAGTGAGGTGGTTTTTTGTCTACCAGCTCCCAGTGCATATAATAAAAGTTTTTACAGCCAGGGGCTGTGGCTCATGCATGTAATACCAACTACTTAAGAGGCAAGAGGGTCGCTTGAGCCCAGGAGGGAGGCCAGCCTGGGCAACACTGTGAGACACCCTCCCCCACCACCATCTCTACAAAAAAAGTAAAAATAAAATTTAAAAATTAGCTGGGTTGGCCGGGCGCGGTGGCTCAAGCCTGTAATGCCAGCACTTTGGGAGGCCGAGACGGGCGGATCACGAGGTCAGGAGATCGAGACCATCCTGGCTAACACGGTGAAACCCCGTCTCTATTAAGAAATTTTAAAAAAAAAAAAAATTAGCTGGGCATGGTGGTGTGCACCTGTAGTCTCAGCTACTAAGGAGGCTGAAGCGGGAAGGATCCCTTGAGCCCAGGAGTTTGAGGCTGCAGTGAGCCATGATTGTACCACTGCATTCCAGTCTGGGCAACAGAGCAACATCCTGTCGCTGGGCATGGTGGTGTGCACCTGTAGTCTCAGCTACTAAGGAGGCTGAAGCGGGAAGGATCCCTTGAGCCCAGGAGTTTGAGGCTGCAGTGAGCCATGATTGTACCACTGCATTCCAGTCTGGGCAACAGAGCAACATCCTGTCTCAAAAAAATAAAAAAAGAGGCCAGGCATGGTGGCTCACACCTGTCATAGCAGAACTTTTGGAGTCTAGTGGGCAGATCACTTGAGGCCAGGAATTCTAGACAAGCCTGACCAACATGGTGAAACCCCATCTCTACTAAAAATACAAAATTAGCCAGGCATGGTGGCAGGCATCTATAATCCCAGCTACTCAGGAGGCTGAGGCACAAGAATTGCTTGAACCCAGGAGGCAGAGGTTGCAGTGAGCCAAGACTGCACCACTGCACTCCAGCCTGGGTGACAGAGTGAGATTCCATCTCAAAAAACAAAAAAAAAGGAAAAAAAGAAAATATCCTGGCCAGGCGTGGTGGCTCAAGCCTATAATCCCAGCACTCTGGGAGGCTGAGCCGGGTGGATCACCTGAGGTCAGGAGTTCAAGACCAGCCTGGCCAACATAGTGAAACCCTGTCTCTACTAAAAATACAAAAATTGGTTAGGCATGATGGTGGGCGCCTGTAATCCCAGCTACTAGGGAGGCTGAGGCAGGAGGATCACTTGAACCCAGGAGGTGGAGGTTGCAGTGAACCAAGATCAAGCTACTGCACTGCAGCCTGGGTGACAGAGTAAGACCCTGTCTCAAAAAAAAAAAAAAAAGAAAAGAAAAGAAAAAGAAAATATCCTTAATATTTTTTTTACAAAGACAATAGATACTGTACATATATTGAATACTGACTTTTTTTGAATACTGATTTTTTAAATCACTGTTTTTAAACCTTTTTATCATGAAATATTATATATATTTTGAATAATGCCACTAGAAATATTCTTGAATGCATCTCCTGTTGTACGTGTGCATATATTCCACGTGGGCGTATATATTTCCATGAGTGGACTCACTGTGTCATATTGCTTGCATGTCTTCAACATTACCACTTAGGGCCAAAATACTTTCCAGCGTGATTGTAGCAATTCTCACCTCCTCCATCAGCAATATGAGAGTTCTCCTTGCACCATATTCTCTTCAACACTTGGTACTATCAGTCTTTTTCATTTAAGACTTTCTAGAGGTTGTGTAGTGGTATCCATTGTGGTTTTAATTTGTATTCCCTTGCTACTAAGAAGGTTAAATCTTTTTTTATTCGTTTATTAAAGCCTTGGATTTCCTCTTTTGTAAAATGAATGCTTCACCCATTTTTCTACTAGGTGGTCTCTTTTTTTCTTACTGGTTTGTACAAGTTCTTTACATCTTCTAGCTCTGAGCCTTTTGTTGATAATGTATGTTGGAGATATCTTCTACTCTGTGACTTTCCCTTTGTTCTCTTTTAATGCTGTCTTTTAAATGAATAGTAGTTCTAAGCTTTGTTGTAGAAAGACTTATCAATTTTCATGGTTCATGTTTGAGAACTATTTTCCTAATTCAAGGTCATGAAGATAGCCATCCGTATTATCTTCTAAAGGCTTTATAGTTTTTGCCTTTCACATTTAAGTCTATAATACATCTGGAATTTATATATATTTTTGAAATGAGATTTCACTCAGTCACCCAGACTGGAGTACAGTGGCACAAACATGGTTCACTGCAGCCTCCACCTTCCAGATTCAAGAGATCGTCCCACCTAGCCTCCTGAGTATCTGAGACTACAGGCGCATGCCACCCCACTCAGCTAATTTTTATGTATGTGCTATATATTTTATTTTTTTTGTAGAGACAGAGTCTCGCCATATTGCCCAGACTGGTTTTAAATCTGGACTCAAGCAATCCTCCTGCCTCGGCCTCCCAAAGTGCTGGGATTACAGGCATGAGCCACAGCACCTGGCCTTGGAATTGACTTTTTTTTTTTTTTTTAGACTGAGTCTCGCTCTGTCGCCCAAGCTGGAGTGCAGTGGCCTGGTCTCGGCTCACTGCAACCTAAGCTGTTTTTCATGCTTTTTTACCTGTAAGTATACATGTAGGAGTTTTTTCCACTTTAAGTACCTAGGTTTTGGGTATTTTTATTTTGGTGAGAGGTTACAAAACCTCAATTCAGGCCGGCGCCGGTGCCTCCAAGCCTGGGTTAATCCCCAAGCAACCTTGTTGAGGCCGGAACGGGATGGATCCACCCCCCACAAGTCAGGGAGATCGAGACCCATCCCTGCTAACAACTGTGAAACCCCGTCTCACTACAAAAATGAACAAAAACTACCGGCCGCGAGGTGCGGGCCGCCTGTCAAGTACCAGCTACTCCCTGGAGGCTGAGGGCAGGAGAATTGGCGGTAAACCCCGGGAGGCGGAGCTTGCAAGTGAGCGGAGAATTCTGGCCACTGCAACTTCCCAGCCCTGGGCCGGACAGAAGCAGACTCAATCTCAAAAAACAACAACCAAACAAAACAAAAAAACTTTATTCCAAGGTATCTTGACATTGTTGTGTTACCTACATCATTAAGTTTAATTCAATCCATTTCCTTTTCAAAAATGAAAGATTTTTAAAATTGACTCTTCTTGTAGTTCTCCAAAGGAAACGCCTATCTTTCCTTCACCGCAAATTCCTAAAGCTCCCTTTGTGTCTTCTTCTGTTGGTTAATCCAAGTCTTTAAGTTGCTTTATATTTTACTCACTCTTTATCACCATTGCCTAGCACATCATCTGACACATAATCGGCCAGTATCTTGTTTTTAAGTTAGCTAGAAGGAACTTAAAGAGAGCTCATTAAAATCCTCATTTTGAAAAGAGAATGAATAAATAAACTAATGAATGTAGTACACAACAAATGTCAAGAATACTTGAATAAGTTTTTTTGTTTGTTTGTTTTTGTTTGTTTTTTTGAGATGGAGTCTTTGCTCTGTCGCCCAGGCTGCGAGTGCCAGTGGCCAGATCTCAGCTCACTGCAAGCTCCGCCTCCCGGGTTTACCGCCATTCTCCTCGCCTCAGCCTCCAGAGTAGCTGGGAACTCAGGCGCCCGCCACTCGCCCGCTTAGTTTTTGTATTTTGTAGTAGAGACGGGGTTTCACAGTGTTAGCCAGGGATGGTCTCGATCTCCTGACCTTGTAATCCTCCCGTCTCGGCCTCCCAC